CTAAGTAATCTAAAAGTAAAAGCTGTCAGTTATAAAAGTTAGGGGTTTCCTTCTTCAGTTTCTTACACAAATTTAAATAGTCTGTATTTCTGTCCTTGGTTCCTTGTCTTTATGTTCCTCCAGTGGTTTCTGTTCCCTATTAGCTTGGCTGTTTCTTCTCTCATATAACATCTTCCCTAGTTCCTTTCCAAATGCATGCTGGTGGTGTGTTGCCGAATTTCTTCTAAATCAAAATAGAGGAAATAAAACACTTCAACAGGAATAGGAGACCCAATTCCATGTCTCACAACATTTAACTAGGACAAAAATGGACAATTTAATTTTAGGGATATCAGTGGGGGTGGGGTGACCAGGGGCAGAGCTGTTCTGATAAATTGTAGATGCCTTACTAATCAATTAACTAAATGTAATTTATATGCACATTTATATATAACAAAAAAAGTCATCTTATTTAGCCAGACTGAGTTCTAAACACTTAAATTGTAATTTAAAGACAAATATCTGTGAGTATGGTTGGTTGAGAAACTCTAATATAAATTCTGACACTCCAAGTTTACTGAGCACCTGCAAAAGAGGGAGATTAGAGTAGAAAGCAGGTAGGTATATAATCACACAACATAAAATACTATTAATGTGAGGGAAAGGACTTAATTCAAATAATATGAATATAGGGAAATAACACAGTTTATTTGTTTATTATAAGTTACTTATTATCAACACACACACTAAACAATAGTTGAAACTCTTATGAGTCTTAATATTTAATACCTTTTGTTCCTGGTGCACTTTGTATCCTGCCTACATCCCTTGGTGGGGATTATACCACCAAAAGCCTTCATCACCAGAGCAAGTTTATTGCTCTGGAAATTGTAAGTAGGGTACTTACCCTTTCTTATATATACTATTTATAGTACATACTACACTATTGGATTTTATTTGTGTTTTTGTTCCATGCACGACTGTGGAGCTCTGGAAGCTATATCTCACCACTATTCCTATATCCTAAGACGGGGATCATACCGTCCAGGCGCTATACAGTAGAGCTCTCAGTAGCTCTGGAAAGTGTGAGTTAGCCTTTCTACTGGTTTTCCGTATATTTTATCCAATAACTGTTTTAAATTGACATACTGCACTATTATTTTCTTATTTATATCTCTTTAAGGTTTATACCTACCATTATATTGTTGGAATACCCTGTATGTATGTATACATAATTTTTTTCTATTTAACTATCTCCAATTCCTCTGTGGCGCGGTTTACCACTCTGTTCTTGCAATATCCATTACAGTGTATGGTAAATAGTAGGCAGCACAGAACCATTTTTGTGTCAAGGTATTAAGAAAATTATGGAGTGTTTGATGTTTAATGCGTTACAAATCATATTTTCAGCTTTTTATTTTTTTAGGTATGCCTGGGGCATTGTCGATGGCATTCCACCCGCACCTGCACCACCTCACTCAATAATATGTGGTCAACATGAGATAAGAAAAAGAGAATAACGGTAATTCTATGCAGGGAAACAGATTTGTGGTAGCTTTAACTATCAAAAGGGAAAATATATCAAATTTAAAGAATTTGGGAACTTGCTTTCTTTTTAAATTAACAGTACAATATAGTGGGGTATCTATATTATAACACTACTTTCAATGGTATGGGGCTTTCTATACTCTTACTGTTGTTTTTTTTAATGAAATTCTAGAAGGCTCCCTCTGCCATGCTAGCCAAATATCTTGGTTCAGTCTGTAATTGTTTTGTTAATTTTCATGGCTTTATAATACTATTTCATTACATTACCTCTGGTTGGAACTTACATTAGCCTGCTCTTCAGAGAGGTGCACCAATGGTAAAAAAACACACACAAAGAAACTTGAATACTTCTATAATTGGTTGGTTAACCCCTAGAAAACTGTCAATTATAAATTAAGTCACAGGGTGTTTTGCCAGGATCATGATAACGGCCAGTCTGGCTCAGGAGCACAAATGTATACCTTTTATTAAAGGGACACTGTACTCACCAAAACATCTTTAGCTCAATGTAGCAGTTTTGGTGTATAGATCGTCTCCCTGCTTAATTCACAGCCATATAGGTGTTAAATAACTTTTGTTTCAGTATATACTGCCTTAGCCACACTTTCCCTGGCTGTGACTGACACAGCCTGTATGAAAACAAAATGGTTTCATTTTCAATCAATGTTAACGTAATTTAAAAGTTTATATCGCCTACTCTATGAATTGAACTTTAATCACATACAGGAGGCTCCTGCAAGGTCTAGCAAGCTATTAACAGAGCAGGAGATAAGGAATTCTAAATTAAACAGAATTTGCGACAACACCAGAGGAACATACGACCTCATATGATATGCAGACTTCTGATAGATCCCTACCCTGGTCCTTTCCATCGATGCCGAGAAGGCATTTGAAATACAACTTTGACCCTTTCTCTTCGCCACCGTCCATAGATTTGGTTTCCCAAATCTATGCAATCGCTGTACTCTTTCCCCATGGCCAACTTACTCCTCGCAACCACCTTGCTTTTGAAATATTCAATGGAACCCGGCAGGGCTGCCCCCTTTTGCCAATTTTGCTGCATTTTTTTCTAAGCTTTCAACAAAAAAGCTAAAAAAAATTTCATAAGGAAATATCTAAATAGATCTACACATTACAATGTAAATATTTCTACAGTTTCATTAAATGGTTACTTAAACCACCATGAGCTCAAGTGGCTAGCTACACACAGAACCCAGTTCCAGACTGCCAAATGTCAATTCTGTGCAAAATTAAAGTTTCTTGTCAGACTTGCAAAAGATACCTTCACTAACTAGATGAGCCAAAGAAAATTTTAAAACAACCTATTTTTTTAGGTCTCTCCAGATAATCTATTCACCATTTACTAATTTCTTTCTTTCTTGTTTTCCCTCTTTCTCTCCCGTTATCCCCCCATCCCTCTTCTCTGTCACTTTTCCTATCCTTTGTCCACATTTTGCTGTCATGTTAAAACAAATATTTTCCAGCTACATTACTTGATGTTTTCACTTCTCATTTTTTACTATATGTGGGTGCAACACATTTGTTCCTTTTTATCTAGAATCTCCATGTCAGGAAATTAATCAAGTTTAAGTAAAAAAAAAAAAAATCGCAATGCTTGTCAATAAAAAAATAATATGGAGCATGCTTGTTTAAGGAATGAGTAAGGACTGTGAGTTAAAGGGACTATCCAAGCACCATAACAATCTCATTAAAATAAGGATTTTCCAGGTGCTGGTTTTACTTCAGGGGTTAAATTGTTAACCAAACAACTTAACCCAAAGTCTTCAATCCTCCAGTATGAGACTTCCATCATTAAGCCTTGGATCGGGTGCTGCTAATTGACAGCTGCGGCTTTCAGCTTGCTGTGGCCTGGTGATTCCCTGGTAGGAGAAGTTGTTGATCTCTCCATCTGAGGCTGGCTGGGTTTCTCTCTTGAGGTCACTCAGAACCCCGCACTTGCCCCCTCTGAGGTGGTGGGGGTTATCCCGGCATTCACCAAGTGAGCACTTACCTCTGTATTCCTCCTGGGTGAATTTCTTGAAGGAGACCAACATGCAGTCTTTCCAAAAAGGACAAGGGCAAAGACACACATGCTGAGCAAACAACTCTTGGAAGCTGGGATTTTATTAAAGGACACGGAGGCTCTTATTAGGCTTTATCTCTTTCTTTATTCCTCAGCAGCAAAGAAAGGATATTGATATTTTTTAATATAGCAATAACAAAAAGATAAAACAAATACCCTTAAGGGTTAACCATATAACATTCCATATCCATTAACCAATAGGATCAGTCCTTGTACTATATCCCTTCATGTGAGGTAAACTACTTCCTCTTTCTTTGCTGCTGCCTCAGCTAAGTACCACATATTTTCAGCTCCTCAAATATTGTGTTGTTCAGTTTTCTCCTGATTCATATTATTATTGTTTTCTACTGTTCATTTTAAATATCAGTTTTTCTTTGTCTAATATTCAATTTTTATGTGTATTTGACTACTGTTTGTTTTACTCTGTTTCCCAGTGCAGGGTGCTTGCCTCCTCCCTGAGGCAAGCCCCATCCTGCACTGCCGTTTTCGGGTTGTTTATAACCCGTCCCTCATTCCACTTCCCCGGGTGGGGGTCACTCAGGCATCCTCTCCCCACCCCCCCCGGCCCGGAACGAGCAGTTTCGCCGCCGGGCGGGCGGCTGTTTCTTTGGCGGCCGTTTCTGCCGCTCGCGCATGCGCGGTCCGCATTCGCGCATCGCGGCGGCCATCTTAACTGAGGGCAATTTTGCCGCTCTTTTCGCCCGCGGTCCGCGCCACTCTGACAGGGAGGGGCGCGAGCTGATTGGGTGAGGGAAGTGTTGGGCAGCTTACCAGTGTCCCCCAGGAGTCATTCCTGAGGGAACACTCGGTAAGCTGCTATATTATATGTGCCAAAAATACTTTGTGCCTCTTTATAACTGTGCCTGCCTTAAATTTAACTCAAGTGCTCAGCCACTTGCCCTATACTGCTGGTTTTATTAACCTCTGCAGTGCTGAAAGTGTGCATTTTGTCCAATAGTGACGGTTTATTTCAGTGCCTCCCTCTACTGTTACTGTGCACATTCCTGATCACTATGCAGTCCCCTGCTGATAAAAAGACAGTTACCCCCCCTCCCACCTCTACTAAACCCAGCAAGCGTGATAAGACAGCCATGTCTACAGACGCTGCTGTCATTGGGGGAGTTGGGGACGCATCCCAGGAGCACGTGAACTCAGAGGAGTTCCAGGCGCTCCTGGATGCCACGATGAGTAGGTCTGTTACACAGGCCATTTTTACCGCCATGGGGGCGATGTCGGACACCCTGTCCCACTCTATTTCCTCTGCTATTAGGGCATCCGGTCACAACCCGGGCTCGGCACCCCCTATATCCACTGATAGCAAGCCTATGGTCCCTAGTGGCAAATCGCACCATCTGTCAGGTGCTACCTCCAGAACCAGTAAGACGGACAGGTTGCGCCCTGTTGAAATTGATGACGTGGTGCTCCCACGTAAAAGAGCCCCCCGCCGGGCAAAAACGGTGCGGACTTGGAAGAGGGCAAAAGCCCTATCTGATCCGTCCGACTCCGACTCGGACTCAGAGGAGGTATCAGATGGGTCAGATGACATCGACCCAATTAATTCAGACAATTCGTCCCCCGAACGCAGCGACACCGCGCCTCCAGCTTTAGACGCGGAGCGCGAGACGGATGAGTCCGCTGTATTAGACCCCCAAGGGGAACCCCTTTTTGATCCCGACACCTTGCATAATCCGCGTTCAGCGGAGTGGTACCCCACAACTCATGTGGCCGTTTATATTGCGACTAGGGTCAGAAAACCCCTTGACAAGGCCACAAGAAGCAAACTGAGGGCGTAATGCCCAAGGCCCACTGTCCCAGACATGGCTTGCGTGACCCCTGAAGTGGATCCCAAGGTCGCCCAATTCCTGGGTAAGTCAGGTTGGAGGGCCAAGAAGGGTTTGGACTACTCCTTAAAACACTGCCAGGACAAGATCCTGGACATACTCGGGCCTATAGCTAAAATCTTCGATATGGTCGAAGCGGCCCTTACTGGGGAGACCCCAATTGACTTGATGGCCATCAGAGGCTGGATTCAGAGGGGCATATGCCTAATAGGAAATGCCAACACCGCTTTGGCCACGGAACGGCGTAAAGCCATATTGATGAAAATCGAGCCAAAACTAGTGCATTTGGCAATCTCTGAGCCTGGAACACAGGCAAAAGGTCTCTTATTCGGAGACAATTTTGTTAAGACCCTGGGTAATTACGTAAACACATTTATGGCACTAGATAAGGCACAACATAATATGAAGCGAGTGTTCTCGCAAAAGGTTTTCGGGGGGGCCGGCAGACAGCGGGGCCGTCTGTCCGGCCGCCCCTCCCGGACTCAGTTCCGGGGCTATCGAGGCTCCGCCACACCACGGTTCCACCCACCCGAACCAAGGGCACAATCACCATTCTTCCCGACCAGGGGCAGATCATGGCATCCACGCGGAACCAGGGGATCCTCCTATGGCCGTCGGCCTTATGGTGAGTCACTCCACATTACGCACCTTTCCCTTTGTACCTGTGGGGGCAGATTGTTTCATTTCCAGGATGCGTGGCACAACCTAACCTCAGATACATGGGTCCTAGAGACCATCCTCGGCTATCACATCGAATTTACACAACAGCCGATTCAACTCTCATTGCCACATCGGATTGTTTTTACCCCACTAGACAAACAGCTAGTGTTAAAAGAGATTCGCACACTGGAGGAAAAATGTGCGATATACAGGGTTCCCATTACCGCCCCCGGGTTCCTAAGCAACATCTTCCTAGTACCCAAGAAAGGTGGAGGCACGAGGCCAGTAATAAACTTGCGGCCTCTCAACGCCTTTGTCACATACCATCACTTCAAGATGGAAGGAATACATTGCCTCCGAGACCTACTAAGACTGGGAGACTGGATGGTAAAGTTGGACCTCCAGGATGCATACCTCACAATACCGATTGCCGAGGACTGTCAGCAATTACTGCAATTCCAATGGGAACAGACGATGTGGCGTTTCCGCTGCCTCCCTTTCGGCCTGTCTTCAGCCCCATGGTGCTTCACCAAGCTGCTGAAACCGGTAGTTGCCCTCCTTCGCAGCAGAGGTGTACGTCTGATCATATACCTCGACGACATGCTGATCATGGCTCAAGACACACAGCTACTGAATCAACACCTATTCTGGACAGTGACCCTTTTGCAAAACCTAGGTTTCCTAATCAATTGGGACAAATCGATCCTACAACCTTCACACTCGATAGAGTTTTTAGGCTTCGATATAGACGCAGTACACGGAACGCTCAGTCTTCCTACCGCGAAAGTAAAACTTATCAAGAAGGAAATCCGGAGGACGTTGACTCGACCAGTCTTAACCCTCC